AACTCCAAAGGAATCGTTTATACATTTTGGTTGGTATAAAAAGCGTAGAGCATTAATTTAAAAACTATTTATTCTTCAATTGCTTAAGTTTTGATGCGGTTTGAAATTATGAATTTATTCTTCAGCTGTAGATCTTATCAATTGAACAGTAGTCCTTTATCATAAAGAACCCCAATTTCGCCCAAGCGAATATAACTTCCTACTACCAAATGTTTGATAAAGTGTTAGACTTAGTGAACTATCCTCAACTTAGTACTAAAGGTTTATATCGGTTAAAGTTAGAAAAGATCTATATACAAAGAAAACGTCGTACTTCTTGAATTGCAAGTGGAAGAAGAAGAAGTGGAGGGAGGGGTAAATTGGGTTGGGAAGGATGAGGTGGCAATACCGTGTGATGTCTACTTTATCAAAACATTAGTGCCACGTAAGATTGGGAGTCTAACTTGGACAAACTTAACGGAGAAGGGGTATATTTGAATCATTTAGGTAGTAGCATGGGTATTTTTATACGAATAGTATAACAGAGGGTAACAACGATCCTTTTTTCATAGTAGATGTGCGTAATTTGCCGTTTTCTCTAAAATCAATCTTAAATCGCAATACTCTACCTCAAGGTAACATCATGAGACAAAATAAAATTACTATATTTAAGCTATATTTATCGCTAGACATAATTTTTATACTTTACTATTGTTTGTATCATGAAAGAGAAGACAAAAGACAAGAAAAAGGGAAAAAAAACTCTGATAAGCTTTAATTCTTGCATCACTTGAGTAGTGTTTTCAAAAGAAATTAGGGTAATTCTCAATGTAATTATGTCATTTATGAACCCAAATTATGTGGGAAAAACGTTACTAATGTATATTCCTATATAAGGGCACATAATTCTATTTTTAGAGACAGATCTGAGACAATATTGAAATATACTCTTTACTTTCCGCTTTCTCGAAATTCTCTACCTTGACTTTGCAATTTATCTATCAAGAATTTCCTTAGTTGTTCTTATTATTGTCCTTTGATATCATCGAGAAAGTGAAGTAAAACTTGATTATCAGTAATCCATTTTTTTTTCTTTCTAAAATTAGATTTTGATCAAAAGACATATTTTTGGTTAAACAGTGATGATATAGCATTGAGTTTGCTCGAGAACTTACAGATGGCATTAATGATATTGATTGCCCATAATCTCGGATATCTATAACTGACGTATTTATTGCTACAAATGCCTCATATCTGTTTCGATTCCCCTTCCTTATTTTCTTCTGGTTCATGTATCTTTCCTTCTTTTTATTATTTATTCATTTTCGTCCTCATTTATTCCTTGCCAACTGTTAGGCCAGGTAATGTCTCGTGGGTATTTTTTCCCGTGCCTTCTCTTCCTTGACAATTAAAATAGCCATGTGTCGCTATATCATTATCCCACGTGTCATGCCATGTCAACAGTCTAATACTCCAAGTGTAACGCTTTTTCACCACCAATACAATTACAAGAAAGAAGAATAAGATTAAAATATTAATTTGTTTTTTCACGACAAACAAATAGAAGTATAATACATACAAAAATATAAAAATAATAGATATGAGGACTTGTGTTCAACAAAAACAATTTATTTATAATTGCTTTTGTTGTATTCTTAAAAAATAGAAAGAGGGTGAGCAGCGTGAGAAAGAAAATGGTGATATTTTTCTATTTCGTATTCATTTGCCATGCGATTTCAGAAACTAGATTTCTTTATCTTAAATAGAAATTTAAGGGCAAGAAACACTTCACTACTCAGAAATTTATATATTCATTAGAAAATACGTGAGAGGGATTTAATAAACGTGGATCTAGTTCAATATCTATAATCAAGGGCGGCTTCATAAAAGCAGTGGTCTACAACCAAATTTTAATAAGAGGCCTTATACTTTTATATTAGTACATATACACACATATATGCAAAAAATTAATTTTGCCTTTTTTATAATACTTGTTATTTATAGTATATATTCTTAAATGATATAAAGTTTTTATCTTCATATAGTGATGTTATTATTTATATTAAAAAAGGGTAATTTAAATAAATGAGATGTTAGATATATATTTGCAATATGGTACCTTTAATATTATTGTAAAAAATATATTTACTAATATAAAGATTTAAGTAGTTTAACTCAGAGTTTTAAAAATATTTTCACTGTTAAAGACATCTTTCTTTCTTTTTTTACATTTTTTTGTACTTATTTCTTCTACAACATTAATATTGTCTAGTTTGAATTAAAATTATAAAATCCATTATTATAAATTTTGGGGACCAAAATCAAGGCTTTACTAGTCTCCAACTAGAGCAACTTGCCCACCCCTTATATTCTCAATCAAGTTTGTAGAGTTTCAATTAAGACAAGATAACAACGACAAGAACATTAAAGACAGTGAGTGTGTCATTCAGTTACCAAATGTGAATGAAACTAGTAGAAAAATACGTTCATAGTGGGGCAATAGTCTGTAAATAATTGTTGATCATCAGTGAAGGGCGACTCAACATAAATGGTGGCCTAAAACCAGAATATATTAAAAAGATCCTGAAACTTCTTTTTTAAAATCCATACAATATTGAGACACAAAAAAAAACTAAATAATGTTGATCTAGTGGTGAGAGCGTAACTCATGATGTATGGGTTAGGTGAACGTCATATGACATTGAATTTCTTCCTTTAGGTGAAAATGATAAACGGGTGAACCTATTATCCATCATGTTTTTAACCTTGCGACATTTGTCTCGTGGATTTCTTAGTTAAAAAAGACGAGACACAAAAGAACTTGCTTTCTGTGTGTAGATCAATCACACGTGACAAAAAGGAATAGTTAATCTAGAGAATTTGAGTTAAATTTAGAAAGTAAAATCGTGAGATAATATGAAAAAAGATTATAAATAGAGGAATAAAAATAGAATTGACGAGAAGATAAATATATTATTAATTTAGTGAAAGATTTTTTTTATTAACTCACTCAATCCTACCCCTACTAAATTTTTTAAAAATTATTAAAATTTTGAATTTTTTATTAAATATTATATAAATATAAATTATAAGTATATATTATATAATAATATAATAGTGCTTCATATTTTTGGGGTCTTAAATATTTGGAGGCCTAAGGCAAGGAAGCCCTTGCCTTACCCTAGAGCCGCCCTTGTCTATAATTTTGTTCAAAATGTAACTCTTCTCTATTTTCAGTTTCGTTATTGGTTTTAGAAATCTGTTTCTTCTAATGACATTTTCAAAGTAAAATTTCTCTTAATTTGTTTTAATCTAACATTTGCCAAAACAAATTTCATCTCTTACAAAATATAATGACAATTCTAGTTTTAAAGGAAAATAATAAAAGAAGAGAATAAAGAATCGTAAGGTGTTATAAAATTGAATATTTAGATATTATTTACATGTATGTAAGTATGAAATAAAAACCCACTGTATCCACTAAGACAACTGAATTAATCTAAATTAAATGATGTTACAAAACTGATCTACATAGCTTAACTATCACTATAATACTTTTTTTTATAACTTCACACTTTCCACTTAACAAATTTATTTAATAGTATTAATTATAAAGGATGTTTGACCAATATATTCTTATTTAATCTTTAAAAGAATAATTAATGATTATATGCCTTATTAGAATAAAAATGGCAATGGGTAAAACTATTTCTGACATTGCAAAAGGTCTTACCCCACTTCAGTACAGTTGCAAGTTCAATCTCTTTTAAAAGTGAAATTAGGCTTTTGAACAAATGGAATGATGAATTATTATTTCATCTAATTATGATTTATGACTACTTTTGTTTACTAAAGAAAAGAATTCCATTTTGTTGGAGAAAATCTCGCCCGTGATTCCAAAAAGACCCTCCTCTCAGTCTTCTGTCTTCTCTCTATGTCCCACGGTCCATTGTTTGACTTCCACTAAAGTCATCAATATTCATCTTAAAGCCTACTAATTTGATTTTAAGGCTCGTAAAAAAAAAGAAGTCTTAGCCCACACTAAAAGAATCAAAATAATTAACTTGCAAAAAAAAAAAGAGACAACGTTAAAAGAATTGGTATCTTTTTTATTACAGCACAACCACCCACAAAAAAGAATGGTGTATACGGAGGAAGTCGCAACTAAAAAATAAAAAAGGACGATAAAGGGGAGCTAGCTTTAGTAAAAGCAGCGACGAGAGATTCAATTAATCGAAATCTCGAAGGTGAAATTTTACCTCTATCTTTGCCTTTTCTCATCCCCTTTTTTTCTCTTTTTGATCCTGCATTCTCATTTTCTATTCGTTCTCTGATCGCCTCAGCCGCTCTTGCTTGACTTTCTTCAAAATTCTTTTATAACCAAGTGTTCAAATAATATTGTTTGGGGTATTCTAACTAAGCAACGACATACTACCTGTTAATACATAATTAACTAAATCAAAGTGTTCCCTTTCTAATATTTAAGTTTTTTAAATGAGACAGTTTACACAATTCACCTTTTTCGTTTCAATTTATATGACACAATCTCCTAATACATGTATTTAAAAAATTATTTATATATTTAAAATTAATTTAACTTTTTTATTTTACTCATTTTACAATCAACCAAATAAATTTACATTCCCACAAAAACTTCTATACTTTAAGTTTTTAAGATCATAAGTTTAATTTTTTTTTTCTTCTAAACTCCGTGCAAGTCAAACAATATTACATAACTTACTATAGAGGAAAAATATTTATGAAAATTTTATCCATGTTATTGGTGCTCTCACCCCACTCACCCACCCCATCTCTTTCTATATTTATATATAGTATATAATTTGTAGTCCAAAATACTGAAAGATTAGTTGTCCAATTGATTCTTTTATGATTATACTCTTTTCTTGTCTTACAGCATAGAAACGTTGAAGACTACAGACACCACATACCCCTCTCTCTCTCTCTCTCCTCTTTCTTTTTGGCTCAGATTCGATCAACCCCAGCAAGTAAATTCCACTTACCCCTTTTTTTGACTTTATTTCACTTTCACTTGCTTAAAGACTGTCATTTTCATGCTTGTGGACGTGGGTTGCAGTTATATCAATTTTGGATATTAGGGTTTTATCGTTTTATTAGCTGTATTTTTGCTGCTCTACTGTGGTTCTGTTTTGGGTTAGGTAAAAAGATTGATTTTTGGGTTTCACTGTGAATCTGAAATTGTGTGATCAGTGCAAGTAAGTAAAAAGGATTATTTTTGTGCTTTTGCTGATCGTTGATTCATATAAGTTGTTGAGTTTGCTGTTATGAGTTTTTGTTATTATTTGGTGATTATGCTTGAATCTGTGATTGTTCTGTCCAATTGACCACACCCCGGAAAAATTCACCTAACTTTGCCTGGTATTCAGCAATTGTTTCTTTGGATTCTTCTTGTGATGTTAATTAGGCAGTTCAACTACTGTTAATTTAATGATTTGCTCATTTCCTTTTTTTTCCTGTGCCAATTTAATGATTTTCTGTTTTCTCTTTTCTTTAGGCAATTTAATTATTTACTCCTTTTCCTTGTTTGGCCAATTTAATGATGTACTCTCGTATTGCTATTTTAGGTGGTTAAAGTTGTAGACTTTGAGCTGATTTGGGGAAATTGGTTGATTACTCAGTGAGAATGTTGAGTTATGAAGTGTAGACTTGAAAGATGGGGTGTGTTCTGGGTCGGGAGGTTTCATCAGGCTTAGTACACAACGGCAGGGAGGAGAAGAGGGAAGGTGTGAATTATGAGAAGAAGAGTAAGAGCATTAGTGCTGCTGAATCTACTGAAACTTTAGAGGTCAAGGGGGCGGAAAATGTAACTGTTGATAATGAAGCTGTGGAAGCCAATGAAGGTGATGTAACTAAGAAGGAGGACAAGGCGGAACATGACGGAAAACCTAGGAAAGAAAGGAGAAGGTCGAAGCCTGATCCAAGATTAAGTAATCCACCTAAGCATAAACATGGGGAGCAGGTTGCTGCTGGATGGCCATCCTGGCTTTCTGCTCATGTTGGGGAAGCAATTGATGGTTGGCTCCCTCGACGTGCTGACACTTTTGAGAAAATTGATAAGGTAGCTTTCAGATTGGTTTTTGTGTATATACATTTCTATTCTTGTTGATGTTAACATCCTATGTTTCTTTCTTTCTTTCTGTTCTTAATAGATTGGCCAAGGGACATACAGTAACGTTTACAAAGCGAGAGACACCATAACTGGTAAAATTGTTGCTCTGAAGAAAGTGCGTTTTGACAATCTAGAACCTGAGAGTGTGAGATTCATGGCTAGAGAAATTATCATTTTGCGACGACTAGATCATCCCAATGTAATCAAATTGGAAGGTTTGGTTACTTCAAGAATGTCATGTAGTTTATACCTGGTATTTGAGTACATGGAGCATGATTTGGCTGGGCTTGCTGCAAGTCCAGAGATCAAGTTTACAGAAGCACAGGTTAGGGTGCTGCACTGTAGAAGCTCTGCTTTGAAGAATGAGGGGTGTGAGTTAGACAATCTCTATCTCAGTTGTAGTTAGAGTTAGCTGATTATTGTTCCCCCGTTGCAGGTTAAATGCTACATGCAACAGCTATTATCTGGCCTTGAGCATTGTCATAATCGTCATGTGCTTCATCGTGATATTAAGGGGTCAAATCTTCTTCTTGACAATTCCGGCATTCTCAGAATTGCTGATTTTGGATTGGCTACTATTTTTGATCCTCGGCATAAGCATCCTATGACTAGTCGAGTGGTTACTTTGTGGTATAGACCACCAGAGCTGCTTCTAGGTGCTACTGATTATAGTGTAGGCATTGATTTATGGAGTGCAGGTTGCATCTTAGCTGAGTTATTGGCTGGAAAACCTATTATGCCGGGTCGAACTGAGGTACTTCCTCTTTTCTTGATATATTTATTTGTTCAATCTTCTTCTTGTTAATCCTTTGTGTTAATATGATGCTTTTTTATGCATCGACTGTATTGTTTTTCCTTTTTTCCTTTCCTTTGGGGGAGTAATATGTTTCCTTTATTAATTTTAACTTAAAGAGTCCTAATGGCTTAGCTGTTCCGCTAGCTGATGGAGAAATATTTGCTTTGTTGATTTTTTCCTTTCTGGAACTTAGCTCGAGGAGTGAAAATTACGCTAGGTGACTCTAAATAACAACTTGATATATTGTATTGAAAATAGAGTTTAACTAAATCGAGCTCCTTCACTGGTAATTTTCATTTAAGGACATCTCTCTAATCTAAAGGATCCCTAGGAATTATAGAGAAATCTTGGAATCAGTCCAGTTGTTTCTTGAGCTTTGTTCCCCTTTTGTTTGGGAGTAAATAGTTACATTCTATCTCCTGTATCTGTTGTTAGAAGACAAATAACTGAACTTGATTTCCCTCTCTCTCTCTCTCTCTCTCTCTCTCTCTCTCTCTTGCTGTTGCTGAGCACTTGTATGCATTTTCCTGTTGCTGCATATATGAATGGTCAGATTGTAGAGGCTAATCCCAAAATGGGCGATCCAAAGTTTGAACTAGGATGATCCATTGCTATTACAAGGCCCATGGCATCAACATACAAAATTCAGTGAAATAGACTAGGATGATCTATTTGCTTATGGAAAAAATGAGTCTTTTTAACTGTTGACTATCTTTGAAGCTATGCTCTCAATTTGTATAAGAGTTTCTGGGTTCCTCCCCATTAGTAATTAGGCTGAGTGCATATCATCTTGACAGGAATTGCTAAGTTTGGAAGTTGAATATAAGTAGTATCTTCTTACTCCTGTGGCTAAACAGTGGTTTTTCTTGCTCTTACTGCCTAATAACCTAACATCATTTATAAAGATGACATTTGCCCGTTGTGTCGTTTTAAAATTGAAAGAAAACTGCGGAAAACTTGCATTTAGCTTTAAATTGATGTTGTTTTTGTCATCCGTAGTTCTAAACTGTCTTTTGTAGGGATTATTTTGAATCAGGAGTGCCGGGTCTGGCAGATTGTTCTAATTAGCATTTATTTTTATATTTTAAGGCCACACAATATAGAATTTCTGTGACGGACATACTAATTGTCACGTTAAAATGTCTTCTTATTTAAGCTTGTTTGGAATGTGTATGAACACAGATCTGTTTCCATTTTCCTGCATGAGTTATTAACAACAATATCTTATGTTACTAAGGTAGAACAACTGCATAAGATATATAAACTATGTGGCTCGCCGTCGGAGGAGTACTGGAAGAAGTCTAAGTTGCCGAATGCAACACTATTCAAGCCCCGAGAACCCTACAAACGATGCATTAGGGAGACTTTTAAAGATTTTCCTCAGTCTTCACTTCCGCTAATTGATACATTACTTGCAATTGATCCAGCTGAGCGCAAGACGGCAACTGATGCATTACAAAGTGAAGTGAGTAGCTTTTCTGTTTCCAGAGTGTTTGTTATACTAAGTTGTCTTGGTTCTCCTCTCACCAACAAGTATCTGTTGCTGATAGAAATCTACAGTATGCCTTTTGTTATGCTAATGTCTTGGCATCACTAATTAGAGAGATTGTGAGTACGTTTTAGAGCCTTATTGTGTGATAACTACTGAGGTATGCATATGCAGTTAGTGAAGAGTTACTTAGTATAGCTTGAGTGGCAGAAGAGATTCCCATTTGTTTGACCTGGTATGCTCGCATGAAAATTGTGCTTTCTGTGACATAGAAATAAAGTAGATTAGATGGATCTGTGCTCCATCAGTGTGCTTTTTCAATTAGGAGGTCTTGTAGTTTGTAGTTGTGGATGTAAAAGAGAAATTGTCAATAGTCTGACATTTGTTATTATGGAATTCAGCCCATGTAATATGTTTTGATAATAAGACTACTCTCAGCTCTGCTTTTGCAGTTCTGTTAGTGGTTGCGTACTTTTACTACAGTTCGTGGCAAATTTGTCTGCTAACTTGTGATGTTTTAAGTTCAGGTTCTCTTGTGAATATTTTTAGCAATTAATCAATGTTTTGGGACTTCAGTACTTAATCTGCTGCTGGCAGATTATTGCTACTTGTGATGTTTAATTTAGGATCTCTGGTCAAGATAACTCAATAAGCATGAATGTCTGCACCTTATGCAAAAGGTTAATGAATGTCTGCACCTTACTAAAAGGTTAGTGAATGTCTGCAGTAAGTAATTTCACATTTTGCTGCTGCAGGCTATTCAAAGAAAAGACAATCTTGATCACTCTCCTTATACCAAAAAATTCCACTTTTAGCCTGCAAAGAGTCATAACTAAGTGAACTTTGACAGACATTTTAAGATGTATTCTACCCTGCTGATATGAGGAAACTTGCAATTTATGCAGCCGCTTATTTAGTTTTTGATTATCTATATTGAAGTTGTGTGACAATCTCATCTAAAACCTTAACCAGTTAGAGAGAGCACACTTATATTTATGTAATTATGTCTTCAACACACTCCTTCACATGCGGGCTTTACTCTTTCCCATGGGCCAAGCACATGGTAATTCTTTTTGTTAAAGGGTGGTGGGACTCGAATCCAGGACCTTTGCCTGCTTTGAAACCATATTAAAGTTGTGTGATCATCTCATCTAAAAGCTTAAGCGGTTAGAGAGAGCACACTTTTATTTACTTAATCACGACTCCAACAATCTAAAGTTATAATTTTAAAAGATAATCTAATGTCATCTGATTTAGCTCTTAAATTGGTCAAATTGACCCTTAAGCAAATTTGGATGAAGGGAGTGTTAGTGAACTGACTTTGAAAATCCTTAATGTTTGGTTCCTTTGACATAGAGGAGGGGGACAAGTATGGCGGCGAACTAGTTTAACTACTTGTCCTCCTATTATCCCTTTTTGGTGCAGCACTGCCTCAAATTCTATTTCCAGGTGTTTTGGTTTAGCATGTGTTTTTTTGTGATATTCTGTTTTGTTCCCTGAACATCTCATTTTGGGTTAAGTTTTCTCACTTGTATTTTCCTGATGTTGCCTTCTATATGGTTAATGGCATTCTGTTTCTGCAGTTCTTCAATACAGAGCCATATGCTTGTGATCCATCTAGTCTTCCAAAGTATCCTCCGACCAAAGAAATGGATGCCAAACGGCGGGATGATGAAGCTAGACGGTCAGCACTTTTTTACTTGTGTAGTGTGAATCAGGCATCTGTTTGCCTTCCTCACTTTTCCTGCAAGCTCTTTAATGTTGATAGAATGCTACATAATGCGTGTGGGCCTGCTTTCATAGTTTTTCATAGTCCCCTTTCCGGTTTATGCGTGTGAGCTCTCCATGCTTGTAGATCTCCTACAGCACAAATCACTTGGAGAATTTCTTTCTGCCATTACGTATACTCAGTACTCACTCTTCATTTTGTGTGTCTTAGTTTGACTGGTCAAGAAGTTTAAGAATGTAAAGAAGACTTTGAATCTTTTGGTTTTGAACTAAAGGTGGGTATAACATACCAAAAATACCTTTTGAATCTTGTGATCTTATATATGTCATATCATATCTATAAAAGAGTGTCATTAAGGGTAAAATGGGGATGTTGGAATTGCAAATTTACTAGATATAGAAAGAGGCATTCTTTTTGGGACAAACTAAAAGAAAGTAAAGACACATAAATTGAAGCGGAGGGAGTATTAAGCTCAATTACATTAAGTACCCCTCTAGATTATCTTAATCAACTAGGCGTGCCCTATAGTTTAAAACCTCTAATTCAACATTTCATCACAAAAACCAGCGTTCTGTTAATCAAGCCATTATTTTGACCATGAACTAGAATTGCTGTCGACCTTTTATACCTTTTTATCATTATTTTGTGGAGTACTGGACTTAATAGTTGGCTTGTCAATTTGGCAATGCTGCTTTTCTTGTTAATTGTACTATGCTCGGATGCAATTGATCTTTCAAGATCTCATTCTTCTCCCATTGTATTTAACAGTTAAACTTCGATAATGTATGGATGCAATTGATATTTTAATTTCATTCTCTCATCCTGATTGGAAATAACTATTTGTAATATCCATTCCTCTGGGTTCTGTTCAATGCTTGTGAAGAGGTGACAAATGTGGTATAGCTGCTCATTTCATCTTGTTGTGCAGGCTAAGAGCTGCTAACAAAGCTCAGGGAGATGGTACTAAGAGAGTACGCCATCGTGAACGGGCCCGTGCTGGCCCTGCTCCAGATGCCAATGCTGAACTTCAAGCTAATATTGATGTATGTCTCTATGACAAGTCTCCTGCTTTGTTGTGGTTCAGTTACAAACTTGTTTTTTTATTTACCATGTTCGTTACTTCATTATCATTTGTTTTGTTCCTTTCATCACCGTGAAAATTTGAAAAGATTGAACCAAGTTTTCATATTAACTGTCAATTAAGCAGATTTGAAAAAGTAGTTGTTCTGGAAATATGATTTGCCAGTCTCTAGTGGAATTGTCAGTAGTCATCAGTTTTTTCTGTTATGCTTCTTGGGCAACTTGTTTGAAGTGATTGTTCCTTTTGTTCGTTCTACTTTGGCAAGTTTCAGGCTTGGCACTTTTTTGACGTCATTAGCCTTTTTTTTATTTGGTATACATGCCTTCTATTTGCCAAGTTTCAGTGGTTTATAGTCCACCATATAACTTATAATTTGCATGTACATGACTACTGCATAACTTCTATTTTTTGTTCCATTGATTTTCTTCAACTGGTATTTTGGCAATCTGTTTACATTGCAGCGGCGGCGCCTAATCACACATGCAAATGCAAAGAGCAAGAGTGAGAAGTTTCCCCCACCACACCAGGATGGAGGACTTGGTGTTCCATTGGGTGCTTCACATCACATTGATCCTGCCCTTGTCCCTCCTGATGTGCCATTCAGTTCGACCTCATTCACATATTCAAAAGAACCTGTACAGAATTGGTCGGGGCCTTTAGTAGAGCCTGCTTCAGCTGGTGGAAGGCGGAAGAAGCATACTGCAGGTGATGCTAGGGAAGCCAAAAAGCATTTGACAANCAGGGAAGCCAAAAAGTATTTGACAAGGAAAAGATGAGAAGCAACAGCATTTTCTGTAGCAGCAGATCGGGCTTCAGACGAGTGTTTCTATGGCCTATTCTGGAGATAACTAAAGTGGGGCTTGGCCATGGCAACACTTTGAAGCATTTTGTGATTATGCACCTTCCAGGGAAGGGTTTATAGTATGTCCAGAGCTGAAACATTGTTTTCCTTTCCATTTTCCAAATATAGAAGGATCTTTCTGGTTTTTAACTGCTCCATTTGTTGTGGTGGCGAGAAGCTCCCCAGTTACATGTATATTAGTATTTCCCGAGTTAATTCTTTGTGATGGGATTTTTTACTTTTGCAGTTAGTGGAAAATTTTACTATCTGACCGCAGTCCAGTTGCATGTCTCCTTTACCCAAATCCTGGACATTCTGTACAATTTTCCATGTTCTTTGTTGTTGAAAAGGGAAACTCCTATGTTTATAGATCTGGGCATTAAACTTCTGGTGATGTTGGTTTTATCCTGCAACTACAGCCAGCACGAAGTTGAAAACAGTTTGCACTAATGGCTACAGGAAAATTCGTAAATTATTTTCTATTCGAGGTAATTTACAAGTGTCTCTGATCTCGTTTAGGATATTATAGCACATAAACACAATGATGGTTCCGCCTTGAACGGTAATTGGAGCTCCAAATAGATAATTGGAAATTGTACATTTACCTGCACATATTGTAAAGTGATCTAATTGAGCTCACCTTTCATATCTACAGAAAATATTGGAAAATGCTCCTGAGTTAAACATCAATTAGGCGCGGAGTGCATTCTAGCAAATATTTTTTCTTATACCTATGCAAGTTAAGATAGACAATTTGAATGTGTTATGTGGATATGATCCGTTACAATTTTTTTATATAATTCATTTTAAGAAATCTTTATGTTAAGATTACAATATTATTTATGAGATATTTATAAGATTATTTTCTTCTATTCAAATTGTATACGATTATTTTGAAGGATATAGTAACTTCTAGGGGAATAATTCTCAACATTCAAAACCTTTAGGGGCAAAATGGAATTCCCACAACTTTCAAGATCCTTTACAAAACTTTATCCGACAGTTAAGCTTCTCACTTTTGAAGATACTGAGAAAACAAAGATAAACCCTTCTGAAAAAAACATGGATCCCAATTCTTGGATAGCCATAAACCCCCCAAAAAAACACAGTGGAAATACACTTCACACCAAACTTAGCTTAGCGATTCCAGCTCCTTGACTATGCTTGGCGCCTTTCTTCTTTCATGGCTGCCGTTATCCACAGCCCCACCATCTCTATCCCTCTCTCCCTTCTCCCTCCTACTCGACCCTTTAACCTTCGTTCCACTTCAAGCCTAGCAACTGCCAAGAAAACCAAATATAAGCAAAAACCTTCCTTTTTCCTTCAATACCCTTCAAAATCTCGTCCTTTTCAACCCCTTTTGATCCCTCAGCATTTTAAGGACTCTTTTGTCACAGTAGGTGCTGACACTACTAGGATTGATTATGCCAATTTGCTTCGTATTTCTGTTCGGTGTGGTGATGTTGAACTCGCAAAGATTATTCACTCTTCAATTCTCAAACTTGAAGAAGAGGATGTTTATTTGAAAAATGCTTTAATTGCAGCTTATCTCAAGCTTGGTCACTTGAATCTTGCTGAGAAAGTATTCGATTCGCTTTTGAGCCCTGATGTTGTGTCGTATACAGCAATTATATCGGCTTTTGCTAAGTCGAATCGTCAAAGAGAAGCCTTTGAGCTGTTTCTTGAAATGAGGGACTTAGGTATTGAACCAAATGAATATACATTTGTTGCTATTTTGACTGCTTGTATTCGTTCGTTGAATCTTGAGTTAGGTTGTCAAGTACATGGTCTTGTTGTCAAATTAGGGTATTTGAGTTATACTTATGTTGTTAATGCACTTATGGGATTGTATAGTAAGTGTGGTTTACTGGAATCTGTGATTCTTTTGTTTAATGATATGCCACAAAAGGACATTGTTTCGTGGAACACTACGATTTCGTGTATGGTTGAAGAGTGCATGTATGAAAGAGCATTTGAAATGTACCGTGAATTGAGGAGAAATGATTGCTTAATAGTTGATCATTTTACTCTTTCGACGCTTTTGGCTGCATCTTCCCGCTGTTTGGCTGTCAGAGAAGGGCAAGAACTACACGCACATGCTCTTAAAAGTGGATTACATGGTAATTTAAGTGTGAATAATGCACTTATAGGCTTTTACACCAAGTGTGGAACCTTGAAAAATGTAGTGGATGTGTTTGAGAGGATGCCTGTGAAGGATGTCTTTAGTTGGACTGAAATGATTGTGGCGTATATGGAATTTGGTTATGTTGATTTTGCGATGGAGATTTTTAACAGTATGCCTGAGAGGAACTGTGTTTCTTATAATGCTCTTTTGGCTGGATTTACTCAAAATCATGAAGGGTTTAAGGCACTGGGGTTATTTTGTCAAATGTTGGAGGGAGGGATGGAATTGACTGATTTTACGTTGACCAGTGTTCTTAATGCTAGTGGGTCGATGACAGAAAGGAAGATAAGCGAACAGATTCATGCATTTATCCTCAAGCTTGGTTTAGAATCAAATGATCGTATTGAGACGGCATTGCTTGATATGTGCACGCGGTGTGAGAGAATGGATGATGCCAAAAAGATATTTCATCAGCTGCCACTTGACCATGATAATTCAGTTGCATTGACATCAATGATGTGTGCATATGCTAGAGATGGACATCCAGAAGAAGCTATTTCTCTTTTCTTGGTCAGGCATTCAGAAGAATCACTGGTTGTTGATGAAGTTGCATTAGCCACTATTCTTGGTGTTTGTGGAACATTAGGGATTCTAAAGTTAGGGGAACAAATCCATTGCTATGCCTTGAAACATGGTTTAATGTCTGATACCGGTGTTGGGAATGCCATGATCAGCATGTACTCTAAGTGTGATGAGATGCAAAGTGCAATTAAGGCCTTTGAGGCTATGCCTACACATGATTTAGTATCATGGAATGGTTTGTTGACTTGCTATGTCCTTCATAGGCAGGGGGATGCGGCATTGAATATGTGGGCGAAGATGGAAAACTTAGGAGTAAAACCAGATTCTATTACCTGTGTCCTTGTGATATCAGCTTATAGACACACTTCTAGTAATTTAGTTGATTGTTGCCAAAAGTTCTTTTCCTCAATGCAATCCTCATATAACGTAAAACCCACCTCGGAACATTATGCAGGCTTTGTAGGTGTCTTAGGCAATTGGGGTCTGCTTGAAGAAGCAGAACAGATAATTAGTGCAATGCCATTTGAACCAACGGCTTCTGTTTGGCATGCTTTGCTTGAAGGTTGTAGGATAAGTGTGAATGCTATCATTGGTAAAAGGGCAATGAAGGAAATACTATCTATTGCGCCACAGGATCCTTCTACGTTCATACTAAAGTCAAATCTTTACTCAGCATCTGGAAGATGGCAGTGTTCAGAACTTGTTAGGGCGGAGATGAGGGAGAAGGGTTTTCGAAAAATACCAGGACGCAGTTGGATCGTACTTGGCGACAAGGTTCACTCCTTTTTTGCTAGAGACAAATTGCATTCACAGTCAAAAGACATATACAGTGGCTTACAAATACTCATTCCGGAGTGTCTGAAAGCTGGATATGTACCTGACACAAGTTTTGTACTTCACGAAGTAGAGGAGCATCAAAAGAAAGACTTCTTGTTCTACCACAGTTCAAAACTAGCTGTAACCTTTGGGCTTCTTATGACGAGACCTGGGAAACCCGTTCGTGTTATGAAGAACGTGCATCTCTGTGGCGATTGCCATACATTCTTCAAATATGTTTCAGTTGTCACCAAGAGAGATATACACATAAGAGATGCTTCAGGTTTTCATCATTTTGTAAATGGTAAATGCTCCTGCAGGGATAATTGGTGATGAAAAATTAGATATTTTGATAATTCTAGCTGTAGTTTTGATTGTTGATTTCAGGTTTTTGTTGGTAAGATTTTTAAACCTGTTGTTAGATATACAACAATAAGAATGTATTTACACCATGTAAAGAACTTTTGATAAATCAGTTTAGCAAAAATACTTTTCTTTGTCTAGAAAGTTTGAGAAAAGCATACGACTTAGCATCGTCCTCTCTGATATCATTACATTCTTGCTTTTGAATGCTAAAGGATTTTGTTGATAAGTAAGATAATTCATTGATTATATTGCCAATGAGGTGCTAAATATTTATGTTGAAGTACAATGATTTAGCTCCCGTCATCCAGCCAGGAGTTCAATATTTCTAACGTCGATCCTAAATCAGGTACATACTTCAGTCTTCTGTTTACACCAAAAACTCAAAAACTGACACCACCTTGATTTAAACAAAAAATTACAGTTGATTTGCCCTGAAAATATATGTGATGTGATTTTCTCCATGCAAACTGTCCATATTCCTCAGGAGTCTGAGCTTCTTTATTATTCTGTCCTTCCCTGCCGAGTAGAATGTAGATTCTCCAATAAAGTACATGGCATCACCCACTGCACACCAAAAAAGGTTGGGGAACAGAGTCCAAATCTGCCATGCTTGTCTGCATTGTAATAAAAGATGGCCTGTAGATTCTGGAGCTTGCTCATACATGTAGCTATTGTTACAAATCAACAATCATCTTCTCCGTATACTCTATCTTGGGTCAAAGTCTAGGGGTGGCAAATTGGCGAGTTGGGCTGAATTTGGGCGGGTCTAATATGGGTTAGGTCAATAAATGGATCATTGCCCAACCCAGCCCAAAGTGTACTTGGGTTAAGATGGGCTGGGTCAAGATGGGCTAAACAATGGGTCATAACCCAACCCGCCCAACTTGACCCATGTTTTAGAACCATGCTCATCTTGCATAAAAAAAGCCTTTTACCTTAAAATGTGTAAGTTGAGATTTTTTTTTTGGGGAGTGGGGGTAGGGGCGGGTGGGTGATGCAAAAAAACGAAAAAAGATAGAAAACAGAAAATTAATTTTTTTTAAAAA